GTGTGTATTTCGTCAGTTCCAAAATAATTGCAACGGTGGTTTGGGAAGAGAAAATAATTTTCCTTGTACACAAAATGTGTACACATTTTGCACACATTTGTATGTAATTATTTGTGTACACAAACAATTCATCACGAGCACTCTATGTACACTAGAGGATATACACATAACACATTGTCTGTGTGTACAAATAACTACGTACAATCTATGCAAAACAATACAAATTTTATATGCAAATAGCTTTTTCACTATTTCTCCCCATTCAGCCGTGAGTTTTGATCGTAATAGCTAGGCACGTATTGTGCTAGAGCACATTGCCACGGTACATGAACAAATAAATGGAATATATCGTAAAAACCAGCAACAGGACAAAGGTTCAAACCATATACATGTTCAATTACACAGCATCCATCTAATATTCTTGAAGGGAGTAGTCGAAGAAAATGAGTGAGCCTTGTCTCTGTTCAGATCGAACTTCAGATTTTTGCCGCGGCAAAAAGGTGAAGTAGAAGGTAAAATGTTTGTAACTATTTAGGCGGAAATGCATAGACGGAAATGCGAGGTGTTGTAGTTACTAGTTTTTCACCCGCGCGTTGCACGGGATGAATTTCATAATCATACATTGATTCCCTATTTTAAAAATTGCACTACATTCTCACGTTCCAATCAATGTTAGTGGGACAGAGGCGGTAACAAATATTAGAATTATAATAAGCCAACAAATGACAATTTATATGATGCCTCCTTGTACATGACATTTTGTGATTTTTCTATTTGATTTTCTCCGCGATCGCATATCATGAACTTAATGTACAGTCAAATAAACTTGCCACGCTGGGGATTGCAACATGTAATTGTTCATTTGTATAAAAAAAGGACGTCACAAGAACACATTTTTAGCTTCTAACGATGGCCCTCGACTGTTCTTTTTTGCGGTCTTTTTTCTGAAACTATATACTTCCTCATTTCAAATTAATTTGTGCAATAGATCTTTCATGTAGTTTAAGATGATTTTGTAGTAGTGCTGTATACTTTAGTACTTTACAAAAAGTGAGGGACTTTGATATTATAGGAGTAGTGATATTATAGGAGTAGTGTATTCTCTATTAATGTAGCTGTTTTTAGCTTTTAAATAGATTTTAGCCCCTTTTTTGTTAGTTCTGGATTGATGTAATGAAAAATTAAAAAGAAATCCGGCCAATTGCAGTCCTTAATTTGGACCACCAGGACCCTAAGCGCTTCACATGTTATGATTTCGACATGGAACAATTTAGACTGACTCCGGTTAGAAATTCACTTGATTCCGATCTTGACCGATCTCGAGATCAGAACAATGTCCACCCCCATCACTTGTAAATTATTCCAGACTCAATAAAATCCTTATTCTGATTTAAAAAAAAAACAAAAAAAAAGTTTAGTTGTCTAAAAAAAAAGAACAATGTCCACCCCTAGTATAGGCATACTATTCATTAATATAGGAATTACAACATGCTTCTTCATCTCAAAGATTGTTTCAAAATAAGAACAACTAAGAGCAACCCCAATGGGAAACTTCCTAGTGTTTGTGAAATATGCCACATGTCAATTAATTAAAAGGGTTTCTATTCTACATCATCCAAAGTGGACTAGCGGAAGTTTCAAGTATTAAAAATTACTCCAATGCATAAAGTCTATGGCCCAAGTCAATCATACATGTGGCTTTATTTTTAATTAATAAAGCATTATTACCCTATACGTTATTAGTTATGTTAGCAGATTAATCAAATTGAACACTTTTCGTTGATGACCATGTAATATGGCCGACTTTTTTCAACTTTTTATATGAATAATATACCCGTATAAAACCCAATTATATATATATATATATATATACTGATATACATGTATGTATGTATTTATAAAACTACATATATATATTATCTATATATGAACTTTTCTCTCTCTACATATATATGTATCGTTGTTTATATCTATATTGATTAGTTTTAAATCATGCGAATTTTTATAGTACGTATAAGAATCTTGATTGTTTTTGTGTTTGAACAGGTTTAAGTTGATGGATATGGCTTCTCCAAATTTTGATTCAGACTCTAATAGTTCATCTTCAACTGAGAGTGAACTTTCACTTTCCAAACATTACTTTCATGGCGCAAATAAGAATTCGGATGGTAGCTTGATTGTTTCTTCAATATTGACCGCTGTAAAGTTCTCTCTTGACGGCTCAACATCAAGTAGATGCTATATTCGTCGTGATAGGAAAGAGCACCATGATATAATAGTTAATGACTATTTCAAAGGTGAAAACTCAAAGTACACCCCTGAACTTTTTCGTCGTAGATTTAGAATGCATATTGAACTATTCAATAGAATACTACAAGATGTTGAGAACTATGACAATTATTTTCAACAAAAGACAGATGCTGTTGGAAACATTGGGTTGAGCCCCCTCCAAAAGATGGTTGCAGCAATACGTATGCTGGCATATGGTTGTCCAGCTGATTTGCTTGATGAATATGTTCAAATTGGTGAAAGTACCGCGGTTGAAAGCTTGAAGCGTTTCTGTGATGCTATTATAGGACTCTATGAAGAGCATTATTTGAGAAAACCAAACAAGGATGATATTAGAGTGCTCCTCGAAGAAAATGAGACTCGAGGATTTCCTGGTATGCTTGGCAGCTTGGATTGCATGCATTGGCAATGGAAGAATTGTCCCACCGCTTGGCATGGCACGCATACGAATGGTTTTAAAAGAGTACCCACTCTTATTGTAGAAGTTGTAGCTTCAAAAAGTTTATGGATTTGGCATGCTTTTTTTGGAATGGCTGGTAGTAACAACGATGTTACCGTTTTAGATAGATCACCCCTATTTGATGATATAATTAATGGTATTGCTCCGCCATGCAAATTCATTGTTCAGGGTCATGAGTACAACATGGGTTATTACTTAGCTGATGGGATATATCCAAAGTATGCTACTCTTATCCAAACAATATCTCAACCATTGTCTGTGAAGGAAAAGTTATTTGCCAAAAAACAAGAATCAGCGAGAAAGGATGTTGAGCGGGCATTTGGTGTGTTACAAAGTCGATGGCATATAATTAAAGGACCTGCTCGGATGTGGAGTGCTAAAGACTTGGGAAAGATAATGAAGACATGCATCATCTTACATAACATGATTATTGAGAATGAGCGTAGTGAAGGCATTAATCCGGAAGATTGGCGGGACGAAGGAGATGAACCCAGTGAAAGTGTTAATCTTGAGCATGATTTTACCTTAATTATGTCCATGATGATTAATCGAACAAAGGAGATACAAGACACATGGTTACATAGAGAATTAAAAAAGGATCTCATCAACCATTTGTGGGAAGTCTATGGTGGTCAAGTTGATATTGATTAATTTGTTTTTTTTTTTTTTGCATTTTGTGAACCCTCCATTTTTAATTTAATGTTATACTATGTAAGCTTTATTATTGATGATCCATTATCACATCTTTAATTTTTATTGGTAGTACGCTCATCATTATAATGGTTATATCTTACATGTTTTCATAACAATGTAAAGATTAACTAGCATTTTTTATTCTCATCCACAGAACCTAGAGTGATTTCTTTTCCTTGTATTCTCTGCACTCCGTATTAAGTTCTACATGGTCACAATACCACACATCATGATTTCTTTTCCTTGTATTCTCTGAACTCATCATGTCATCCACACTGTATACTATCATCATTTAAAACTAGCATTTTTATTGTCATCCACAGAACCAGTGTTTCTTATAGTTTGTATACAAATTGAAGATTAACTAAAACAAAAGTACAGCCTTACTGCATTAGTTTTGAACTTTCGAAAACAGCTTTATAAGAGGAGTCATTAAAATGTGTTTTATAAAAGGTTTACGTTTTCATTTGAACCTTCAAATGAAAACAGTTGTACAAGTGTTGTCTCCCAGCTTTCATGTAATTAAATAACAGGAAAACAAGTTACTCCCAAAACAAACAAATCAATAACGTTATTAATAAACAAACAAGGTTCATATATTTTTAGGAAATATATAACTAAACCATCTAAAACACTAATGCTTAAAGGAATAATAGTCTTTGAAATCAAATGAAACTGACATGTTTGAAACTAAAATGCATTAATATATATCCTATGTATTCAAGTATAAAATCTGCCAATTCCCCACTCCTTTGATATTTGAGCTTGTAACATTTCATATGTAGCTCTGGCAGTAGGTGATAGCTTACTCAAATCAACATTCATAACGCGTTCTTGTTCTAACCTTTTTTGGGCTCGCTCTCTCATTTCTTGGTCCTTTATCTTCATTTTTTGACTATTCTCTTTTAGTTCTATCTCCTTCCTCATTAGTTCCTTCTTCAACTCCATCTCTGCCATATTAAATTCGACTTGCTTGTCAAAGGTACACTGTAATTTACTCAACACTTCTATCACTCCATTTTCTGAATTCAACTTTCGCTTTCTCTCTTTACAACTCTTCCTTCCCTCTGGCCGCACAACATCATCACATGTAAGTTTCTCAGGCTCCACAGAACAATTGCGCACATTAGGTGTGTTCTTATTTGTAACCACTGTGTTACCATTGACTAAACCATCTTTATCTGCTGCCGATGACTTTGAGAGCTGACTTGTGCACCATTTTGGATTCGTTATCAGAAGTTCCCAGCAATGCACATACATGAATTCCTTTTTCTTATTACCACTACTTGAAAGCCTTTCATACATTCTCAACGCATTTGTTTTCTGTAAAAATAAAAACAAAAATTAATGCAGTGAAGTATTTGTGCTTTCATATGCATAGATGAAAGCCTGAAATAAACAAAAATTTAAAGAAACACGTACTAAATCTTCTGGATTTGATCCACTTTGAGGATGCTTCCAAGTTTCTCATAAATTGCGTGGAACTTATTGATTGCTTTCTGCATTTTGTTCCATCGACATTGGATGTTGTTACTGTTTCTAGCATTAGTAAATTTATCTCCCATGATGTCCCTCCAAACTTGTAAGATTCGCTCCCACATAGCTGTCAGTTTCTGATTGTTACCAACATCAGGATCCATAGAAATAGATAGCCATGCTGTTGTTAGTGCAACATCTTCTTCTGAACTCCAATAATCTCTTTTAGGAGTGAAAGGTTGAGAAGTATTGGAACTATCATGGACAACTTTGGGGTTCCTTCTCCCTCCTCCGTGTGAACTGTGTGTTTCAGTGGGCTCACTTGAAATAATGGGAGTGTTTAAGAGATTTTGGAATGAGAATTGAGATCCATAAAGTATATTATAAGGAGGATAAGAACCATTTAATGGATTGAGCTGATATGGAGGCTGAAACTGATGGCTTATGGGAGTAAACTGATTTGGAATTTGGTTTGACAGGTTAGCATGGTTGGGATGTTGGGAGCTTGGGAACGGATTAGACCCTGAATCCATGTCAAATTGTACCTGCACATCATGAAAAGAAATAAAGAAAAAGAACAAAATCTTGTTACCTATCAAAGGACTTGAGATAACAACATATCAAATGCTATCAATTGTTTTCTGCCTAACATCATAGTTTTTCACTTTTTCTTTTTTGTGCAGCAAAGTATTTTCTTATCATCCAATACGGAATGAAAAATTTCAGAAGTGTGTAGCTAAATATGTAACAAGACCTAATGGCTTTGAAATACCTGAAATGGCACAAGCATTTGATTATTACAGTAGTGGGGGGGGGGGGGGGGGGGTCACTACATCATAATCTGAATGCTTATAGAGTTCTATTTGATCAAGTAAGTTAATTGGACTTCCTATGTAATACTATAATCTCTTAATCTTGTGCAGTCATAATGTAATTTCTACTTTTGAAAATATGTGTGTTACACTATTATTAGTTCCCATAAAAGAGTCTTTTTAGATACTCCACAATTTCCATTTATTAGATAAGCCATAAGAACCTTTTTTATTTTGTCTTCCTAGAACTTACAACCTCTTATTAGAACTGTCAGGCTAATGACAATATCGCCTGATGGTATTACTGCTGTAATTGATCTCCTACACATGAGTCATTATAATACAAGAGTATTTTACAACATAAGTTAAGAACTATGTCATGGTAGAGTTAAGGTAGATTGTTACTCCATGACCTGGGAAGTTGGGGAAAAATCTACAGGCCACCACAGTAAAGAGGGTCATTTTAAAATAATTAGGAGTTCTAATAAACTTCCACAACACATGGTATCTAATCCATCTCAATGTCTTAATAAGTACTCAATGTTTATATTGAATTATAATCACAAAAATCGAATTCAGTGACAAGAAGTTGTTCAACTAGCTATCTAATAAACTCAAATTCTAATATGGCAGCAACTAAAAGAAGTTATTCCATCTCAAAATGATAAACAAGTGAAGTAATTTACTTCTCATATCACATTCAGATTATCAATCGGCAACTACACGGATTGTTAAAGTCACGCCATGATATCAATTGAGCTTACGTTATCAAAGTTAAGTTTGGAATCAAACACAAACAAAATTGACCTGGTTTTGAGGGAGCTCAAAGATCAATATGAATCGGCAAATATAAACACAATTACTTTGAATCGGCAAATGTAAACACAATTAGTGTGAATCGGAAAAACGTAAACACAATTACTATGAATCGGCTGGGTTTTCCTAAAAAATTAAGGTTAAAAAACTAATTTTAGACATACCCGTTCTTGTTGAGACTTGAGAGAACCCAGAGCTTCTTCGGTGATGGAAACACCAGAGAGAACTATTTGTGGCAGTTCGGCAAGAGTGTTCAGAGTTCACGATAGCTTTGAGTTTTCGATTTCCCTCTTTTTTTTGTGAAGCCGCGCCTAAATTTTGTCTAGTTTTTTGTGAAGCCGCGCCCGATTTTTGTCTAGTCAGCAAGTTTCGACGGGTTTCTACAATCAAACGTTCTCCATCACAGTGTGTAGATTTTTTTTGCCATGTCAGCAAAGGACTATACGCATTGGACATATGTATACACGGATCCTGTCTAATTCCGATGAAGTGGCGCACTAAACCTCCACTAGACAGCCCCCATTGGGGTTGCTCTAAGAAATATTGTATTTTGGAAAATGATCTATTTCATATGTACCAGAATCGAATCAAATTCTCACCAGTTCTAGTTTGAGTTCGAGAGCGGAGATTACATTTTGTTTTCTAGCAACAAAAACATTCAGTATCACTTTAGCTCTGACCCGAAATCTAGAATTTCTCACCCTAACTGTGGCATGAAGTGAAGGTAGAAAGAAAGCATAAAAATATTCTATCTCTACCCCCTAAAGTTGTCTCACTCTTCCTTTTCTCTTTGTCCACAAAAATTGTTTCGTACCAAATTTGATGAAGTTTGTGTTATTTATATATCAATTCAATACCAACCACATAAATCGACTTTGAACCGCACCACCTCCTCTATGCCCCAATTTTAGTGGGATGGAAGTAGTACTAATCAATTTGTGATATCAAAAACACTTCTTAGAAATCTCTTGCCTATGCTCCGTAGAGTAGTATATATAGAAAAAAGAATGAATTTCATATTTGATACTTGTAAATGATGTACGTAGTATAATCTTTCAAAAAAAAACTTAATTTAAATTCTTTCTTAAGAGACATATATGTGCCTTGAGAGTTCGAAGGCTATCAATATGAAAAAATATTAGGAATGTAGACTTTGGTTCCGCTTTCTTTTAGAACCAATGAAAAAACTATGTGGGTCACTGTCTCATTTGCACGAAAGATTGTTTGACTTGGTAAGGGAGATTAAACGTTCTGCTAGATGACCATTACCCTCTTCCTCCTCTTTCCACCATGGGGCTTGAACTTTTGAAATTGTAGGTTCTAGGATATGCTTTAAGCTACCTGTGATTACATATAAGGGACGTGAATCGAAAGAACAAATTACAAAACCTGAAAACGCAAATAAGAAAAGGAAAATGGGCAATGTTATGGCTTGGATTACGAATGAGGATAAAGAAAGTAAAACAACTGAAATGCTGCAAAGTGAATGTAGAAAGTAAAACAGAAATGCTGCAAAGTGAATGTCAAGACCTGGTATGAATTACAATTAACTATAAATGCCGAGATATATTCAAAGGGACAAACAAATTGTAAGAAAAAAGAATTATAGGGAAGTAATTTCATAGTTGATGAAAAAATCAGTACCAAGAGTTAATAGAGAGGACATCTCAATGTAATAAACGGCGGACAACAACCCAATTTATTCTGCAATTTCCCAAAATACAAAATTTATGCTCATTCTTCCCTAATGAAACAAAACATATGAATCACTAAAAAATTACAATTATGAAGCCTACCTAGTAAGTGATCATTTTTTACTTCATATTTTGATATACGTAGTATATGCTATTATAGTTTAAAAGAAATGGTCCAATAGGTGAAATCTTTACATGGACAATGATAAAAAGCTACCCAACTCTATTCCTTGCATTTGTAATGAACTTGGAGAGACACACTTAAACATACAATGGAAAGAGAATTTCATTAATCCTCACAATCAGCACATATAAAGAATGTATAGACGGAAATGCGAGGTGAAGTAGAAGGTAAAATGTTTGTAACTATTTAGGCGGAAATGCATAGACGGAAATGCGAGGTGTTGTAGTTATTTTGGAGCTACTAAATAAGGAAACGGTTGCAATTAGGAGTGGATCCGGTCTAGTGGTCCAACTTGGTCCGGAACCAGATCCGAGCCTCACCTTCACAAATTCAAAAAAAAAAAGCATTTGGCTAGCTGCTAGCCGTTGTGGGGTGGGCCTGGGGTGGGGGTTGTTTTAACAAAAAATATAACAGGGTCGACCCGGGCTTGGACCGAAGCCCGGCCGGGTAGCCCGAACCGGTAATGGTACAAACCGGGCCGTACCAGGCCTGAAACTCTTAGTCACAAAGTGGGCTTGAGGCCCAAGCCAGCCTAGTCCATGCCTATTTGAGATAGGACCGGATCCGTTTTTTCGGTTTTGAATCAATTTAGTACCCGGTGAATTTTTTTAGAGATATTATCCGAAATAGGACTAAAAGAGTTCGAAAATTCCAAAATAGGACTGCAATGTTTTTATTCTCAAAATAAGACTAATTACTGTCATGTTTTGGTAAAACCAGAGTTCAAACATGGCAGTATTTTCCAAACTTGGCAGCAATTACTCCTATTTTGGGAATAAAAACATGACAGTCCTATTTTAGAAACTTTTTTAGTCCTATTTCGGAAACTTTCCCATTTTTTTAAGTTTGAAACCGGGAAAAAATTATTATGGGTTCAGGACCAGACTGTCAGGATATCATAACCGGCCGAGACCCAAAAAATAGCTGGTCGGGCCCGTTTCTCAAAAAAATTGTATACATCCAATATTTACTCCAAAAGAAATAAGACATGTTAAAAAAACACATTATGTAGTGAGCTCTAGCGGACAGGAAGGGGTTCTAAAAGACCCGAATGCTGACAAGTGGCAACAAATACAAATTGGTAGGAGGAATGAATTCATCCATTCACATAATTCAATAATTTTATGTCACTATAGACAAATTACAAAATTGAAGTATAAGTATTCCCATTTTATCTGTCCTACTTTACTTTATGGGTTGTTCCAAAATAAGTGTCCCCTTTTTGGATTCATCTTTTCACTTTATTATACTCAACCTCAACCACAACTTTTACTTTTTAAATCACTTCATTCATAATCGTACCAAGTCAAACCACAACTTTTACTTTTTAAATCACTTCATCATAATCGTACCAAGTCAAACTAAGACACATAAAATGGGACAGGTAATATATCCCAATAGATCTACTTAACTCATGGAAATGTGGTCTCACTTTTTTGTCTATCTTATGATGATCTGACTGAGTACCGCATCTATTCTATGTTAATAGTTTTTTTTGAAGAGTTCTATGTTGATAGCTACCCCATAAATCCGTAATAAATATATCTTCCCAACCTATTTATTTATAGCTATTATCTATTATATACTCCGTATAACAATTAAGAAATAGTCCGTATAAATTGATCGTTGTTTTCCTTTGATTTAAAGGATTCAAGAAGGAAGAATTTCATCATTTCACGTCTTTATTTACATCTTCATTCGGAACACGACTTCATGATTCAGCTAAAATTGGATTGCGTCATGATTTATTATTTTATTACACGTTGCAACATATATTGAGATAGACCCGGCATGAGTATTCCAGTTGGTTGAATGCAAGCCAGGGAAAGTTGGAGGAATGAACAATAATCAAAACTCACACCGAGTCGAACCTTTGGTGCGCACAAGTACAATGTGTACTACCATTGAATCAACCGACTTACCGTGATTTTCAATAATCTCTCATATCGTGTCGGGGCATGGGGGCCTTAGGTTCGATATTCAACCTTTTTGGAGGAATATATACATACTTCTTAGTTTATATAACCACTTAGAGAAGATATGTATGTTACTAAATAACAATACTTGTTTACAATTCAACCGGGTTTATTTTGACTGATTCAACCGGTTTATTGTTACGTAACATTTTAAAATTGTTAATTATTCAATTCAAGTGGTTGGATCCCCACGCATTTTTAAACATGGTTAATGGACTATACATATTCTGGAATATGATATCCTTCATATGCCTTACTTTAACATTTTAGACTGTATATATTACGTACTATTCGGATTAAATTATGAATCAATTGTGCAGTTCTTCCTTTCAATTTGATCATATGATACGGAGTAATATGTATGGAGCATTATTCTATCCTTTGTAGTCCATGTAAAAGAAAGCCTACCGATCTCATGGCTTGTAAAGATGTACTACTGTAATAATAGGGTGTACCGGACTTGAAACATGATTATATTTTTTATGCTTGATATTAGTTACTCTTATTTTGAAAATAAAAACATAACAATCATATTTTGAAATCCTCTACATATTTACTTCAATTTCACATATTATCCCTAATAATTAAGGATCCAAGTTGACTGCCCAACAAAGTTAGTGTCTAACTGTAAACTGTCTAAGGCCAAGTCGAATACATAGTATCACACCCAATTTGTCACAATTCAAGTCTGATTAGTGACATTTTGGACGTGGGACTTAATTTCTGAACTATACGGTTTGGTGGTCGTACTTGATAAGATTAATAAGTTGAATCAATCAATTCAACCAATTCCTATGCTGCCAAAAAAGCTCTCAATAATTTCTCTTTATGTATATTCACTACAAAAAACATCGGTATATATTGACAGTTTGGCACATAATTGATACAGATTGATCGACTTTAGCATGTATTACGACATATTTTTGTAATGACTTGCTGTTAAATAGCTCATTCCAATACCACACATTGTTACAAACTTTGCAATGGATTTGGGAAGGATCCGTCAATCCATATTTGCAAATCCCCTACACTTTTTATAGTGATTGTGAGTTCATTTATTCGTTGCCTCGTGGGTCAAATAACTTTTTTGTTATGCTACACAGTTCTTACTACGTATTATAAAGCACCTATTATTGCTTTTTATCAATGCTGGTTTTTTGAATAGTTTTATTATAATTCGTAATTTGAAAACTATAGATTAGAATTGGAATAAACTCATACTAGAAGTATTTTTTTTGCAAGAAGAAAAATTAATTTTTATTAATCAAATCATTGTCCAACACAGATATAATAAAAGGAGGAGAATAAAACCAAGATCGCAAATCAGACTCATACTAGAAGTATTATTGGTCAAAAGATGTGAATCAGGCTAGCGGGTCCACTTCATATAATTGTATTCCTCTTGTAGATCGGGGTGCTACACAAGTACACAACATATATATTGGGCGTGTTTGCTATTCAGCGGTTAGCGATTAGCGGATTATGTTAGCGGGTTGTCAATAGCGGATTCAATCAACGGGTTTCACTAGCAGAATTAATTAGCAGGTTGTTTGAAGATGTTTTGTAATTTAGTCGTTTGGCCATAAAATTAGAATAGAACACCATTTTTCAAAATTTTAA